AAGTCCATTAAATAAAATAGTATAGTGTTTACACGGATCCTCCCGAAAACCTGAATAATTTCTAGATTACTGCTGACGCCCAATACAATATAAATAGTTATTATACTACGTTGTTTAAGGAATAATGACAAGAAAAATGTTTGTGTAGATTCAATACAAACACAGCTTGTTCCAATATTATTAATCTGTAGTTGATATATCCAAGGATTCGATACCCTGTGATATGGAGGGTCACCTGTATTTATACACCAGGTGTCTATTATTATTGTTATTTCCATGTTTATAGATAAGGAATTGGAGGCTTACTCCTGAAGTGACTTAGCCAAGGTCACATAACTAAGAAGTGAAGAGAATTTTTTGGTATTACTGGATTTGAACTCAGGGCCTCACACTTGCTAGGCCGTGCTCTATCACTTGAGCCACTCCACCAGCCCTTTTTTGTGTTGTGTATTTCCAAGATAGGATGTCAGCAAACTGTTTGCCTGGGCTAGCCTTGAATCGCAATCCTCCTGATCTCTGCCTTCCAAGTAACTAGGATTTATAGGTGTGACACGCCAGTGCCGGCCAGTGCCAAGCAAATATTTTTCTTTTGAGGTAGGGTCTCAACATGTAGCCCAGGCTGGCCTCCAGCTTGAGATCTCACTGCGTTAGCCTCTCAAATGCTGGGACTTTAAGTGTGCCCCAAAACATTTGACTCCCTTCACTTGTTTTTAACTTTACTGGCCACTTGACTTTGAAAGTAGATGATCTAAGTTGTCTTGAGCTTTTGAACAACTAGTACAGTGTTTGGTACAGAAAACTCAGTAATTCTTGAAATATTTGGCAGTACTGGGGTTTAAACTCAGGACCTCATGTTTGCTAGGCAGGAGCTCTACCACTTGAGCCACTCTGCCAGCCCAATTGTTGGAAATTAAATGAAGAGTTTGTCCAAAGTTACAGCTGATAAGAGTAACTACCCCTGTTAGGGCTAGGGACCACATCTTGACAAAACTCCATCCCAGTGAACTTCCTAGTACACTACTCGTGCTTGTGTTATGGGGAGACCTGACTGTGCCCACAGTCACTCATTTAACATTGACTCAGCACCATTGGCTCCCTGCCCTCTGGAGTTTCAGTTCAGTAGAAGAATACAAACACCTTCAGTGTAGATTGGAAGGAAGCCAGACTAGCTCCCTGCCTCCAGATCTTGGTTGTGTGTGCTTAGATAAAAGCACTAAGGGAAGTTCAGAAAAGTTTAAAACCTTGTCCCTGTCTCAGAGAGAACCTTTACAAGGGAACTAAGTATAAATAAACATAACCATAGTACTCAAAGAAGGTGGTGGGTTTTTTTGTTTTGTGTGTGTGTGTGTGTGTGTGTGTGTGAGATTGGGGTTTTGAACTCAGGGCTTTGTACTCACAAAGAAAGCACTCTACCACCCAAACCACACCTTCAGTACATTTTATTTTAGTGTTTTTGGAGATGGAGTCTCTTGAACTATTTGCCCTGGCTGGCCTCAAACCTTGATCCTCCCAATCTCAGCCTCCCAAGTACCTAGGATTATACCGTGAACCACTGATACCAGCTTTGTTTGTTTGTTTTGTTTTTGTATGTTTGTTTATTTGAGACAGTCTTACTATGCAGCCCAGGCTGGCCTCGAACTCCAGATCGTCTGCCTTAGCTTCTTCAGTTCAGTGATTAGCACCATGTACCACCCCAACAGGCTGGGGAGTTTTTTGTTTTTGTTTTTGTTCTATTGTTTTTGGCAGTACTGGGGTTTATATATGAGTGTGTAAATTTTTTTTTTTTTGGTGGTACTGGGGTTTGAACTTGAGGCCTCATGCTTGCTAGGCACATGCTCTACCACTTGAGCCATTCCACCAGCTAGTACTAGAGTTTGAACTCAGAGCCTTGTGCTTGCCAGGAAAGTGCTCTACCATTTGAACCATGCCCCCAGCCCTTTCTGCTTTAGGTTTTTTTTTTTTTAATAGTACTGGGGTTTGAACTCAGGACCTCATGCTTGCTAGACATGCACTCTACCACTTGAGCCATTCCACCAGCCCTGCTTTAGTTATCTTTAGAGTAGGCTCTCATATTTATGCCTGGCCAGCCTGAACTGTGATCCTCCTATTTATGCTTCCCAAATAGCTGGAATGAAAGCTGTGCACCACCATGCCCAGCTTTTTCTGATTGAGATGGAGTCTTAATAAACTTTTTGCCCTGGCTGCCCTCAAACTGCGAACCTCCAATTCTCTGCCTCTCAAGTAACTAGGATTACAGGCATAATACAAAAAATTTGTATGCTTCACTGCAAGTTATATCTCAATTTAAAAAAATTAAAGGGGGCTAGAGGTGCGACTCAAATGGTAGAGCGCCTGCCTAGCAAGTATGAAGCACCCCCCAAGTTCAAATCCCAGTACTATCAAAAAAAAAAAAACCTTTTTTAAAAGAATTAAAGGAAGCAGAAAAAAGTAACTTTAACCAAGTTGCCAATAGGTTTGAATTTATGATGTCAGCAAGGAAAGATGTTTAGAAATCTTTACAAAAGTTATTGAACCTAATCAGTGTGGCAAAGGTAGAGATAAAGAGGATTAAAAAGGGAACTCCAAAAAGGGACAAATATTTTGAAGGAAAACAGGCAGAATAATGGCTCACTAGTTGGACTGTACAAGCCACCAGTTCGCATTCCAGATTCTCAGATTTTAACTAGAGGATAGAATTCTAGATTCTCATCCTTGAGAATCTCCTTAGGCCTGCTTTCCCCTCTGCAAAATGTGACTCCTAATAGAACTCACTAGTATGAAACAAGTGTATTCGGGGCTTAATCTAGCATGCAGATAATAAATCCTCAGGAGCCGGCTGTAGCTCAGAGGGAGAGTGCTTACCCAGCATGTGCAAGGCTCAGGGTTTGATCCCCAGCACTGCAAAAAAGACAAAAGAATAATACATATTGGGTATAGGAAGAAGGAGGAATTTCAAAGGATGCCCAGGATCCCACCCTGGAAAGCGCAGACAATAATGGAGCCAGGAATGGTGGAATGAGCTTCAGCTGCTAGTCTTTTTTGGCAGTAGCTCTATAACCATTCACTAAATGTGTATAAAGTCAATATAACTGGATAAGCAAGAGTTAGGAAAAGATGTTGAACTAGTGGAAGGGAAGGGGCCCAATCTAAGTGTTTGAAGAAGGCTTCCTAGAAAAGATGTTTGTACGCAGTCCTGAAGGATAAGTAATCTTTGTAATGAAGAAAGGTGGAAAGGACCTGTCGGACAAAGGTATGAACATGAACAAAGGCCCAGAAGTAAGACATCTCAGAGGGAACACGGAAAGTGATGGGCAGTTTTTCTTTCTAAGACACAAAATATTAGGTGGAGAAGAATAGAAAATAAGGCTGGAGATATAGGCAGAGGCCACACAGTGGTCACCTCTTGTTTGCCATGTGCTGCACTGCTACATTCTTCTTTACCCAGAAGGAGAGATGACGCCACCCCTGCCCTGTATGCACAACAGGTGCAGACATCCTAGCCTGTTATTGGACTAACAAATCCTGTTTTCCTAAACTTGCTCCACAGGTTGGAAAAACAGGACCAGCCAGATTAGAATATTTGGAAAAGTTTAGATGGGGTTCCCAGGCTTTGCCATGTCATGACAGGGGCTGACATTTTTTTCCCCTGACCTGGTTTTTGAGCTGTACCACTCCCTGAGGAGGTAGGGGTGTGAACCATCACACCCACTAGTGGTCCATGATTCATTTACTCAGCACATCATTGATAAGCATCTGCTAAAGGAACAGCATTGCATCAGGTGTTTGGAGTACACTGAGGAAAAGCTTAGTCCTCATACTCAAAGACATCCCCATCACATTGGAAAGGCACTACATAAACACCCAGCATAATAATAATAATAATAATAATAATAATAACACAAGCTTTTGTTTAGCATAAATAAAAGACTGAAAAAGACTCTGGGCTAGATATTTTGCCCATGGCTCATTTAATCTTCATGGCAGGCCCTGAGATCATCTCATCTTACAGTTAGCAAAGTGGTGAAGTGACTTGCCCAAGTCTAAACAATTTCTAAATGGTAGAAGGATTCAAATCCAGGCCATCATCCTCCAGGCTCACCCCTGTTTCACCACTAGTTTTACCACCACCCAGAGAATCTGTTAAACTTTTTAGGCATATGCTATGAAATCAGAGATGGGAGCAATTACTGTGACTTAGGAGCATACACAAAGGCTTTGCAGAGAAGATGGGACCTGATTGGGCCTTGAAGCATGGGTTGAATGGGAGCAGGAAAAGAAAAAGAACAGATATTCAACTTAATTATTACTTTCCTTTGAATAATCATTTTTAACCTATAATGCCAAAGCTAGAAGGAACCCTAAAGATTCTCTAAGCCAGTGGTTGTCAAACTGTTTTAGAAGGTGGGGAGTGTGCTCAGTAGAGTGGGCTTAACATGCGTAGGGCCCTGGTGGACATCGTTCTTAACTGGAAGATGAACAGAGATCTTCCTTCCCTGAAAGGAGGCCCAGACATTCCTTATCCCCAGAGGACTCTGAAGAGCTTAGTTAATAACCCTGATCTGGTGTAGTAGCTTTAAAATCTTGCTTTATCCTTGCTGTCAAGAGGGAAAGGAGAAGGCAATAGCTCCCAAAAGACAGGAATGAAGGGGACTTTTTCTAGAGGTAGAGAAAGGTCTCGCTATGTAGCCCAGGCTGGTCTTGAACTTGCAATCCTCCTACCTCAGTCTCCCAAAAGTGCTGGGATTATAGTAGTGTACTGCAATGCCTGGTAAAGGGGACATTTCAGACAGCTGCTCAGGCCTGTACTGCTGTACAGGACATTGAGGGTGGTCTTGAAGAAAGAACTGAATGCTTTTGGGAGAATAAATCTTCCTTACATTTTACACTACACTGTGGTCTCCAGGAAACATACAGGTCAATATAAATCCCTATAGGACCTTATCTTATGAGAGAGAGGGGACAGTCAGCACCTTTCTCATTGTCACCTCTACCTTCCCTAGATATGTGCAGGTGAAATTTGTCTGTATTCGGACCCAGTCAAACAGGAAGAGAACACGGGAGGCAGACACGTGCCCAGCATACTTGCTTCTAAGGTACGACGAGAGACTAGATAGACTATTCATCAGTGAACTAAATACCCAGCACATACATGTTGATTCCAAGACTGCTGGTCCTAGAGGAGACCCTGCTGGCAAAACTCAAAAGACAATGTGCCTGCATAAATTCCAGCCAGTGCAGTCCACAATCAAGAAAGACCTTGACACAGATGAGAAGTTCCCAATAGAACTATCATTTTGCCTAGATAAGGGACAAGTACCCTCAAAACCAGAGCAGGAGAGCATCACTCCTTCTGACCTGGCCAAGATCGCACAAGTGATGAAGAACTTTCTCAAGGTAGACGAGGGTTCCATGGCCTCCTTCAGTGTGGGCACCAGCCACGACCTGGACCGGCTCAGCTTCCAGAGCAGCAAGATGAGAGACCTCTTCATCCGATTCCCAGAGAACCTCCTGCTGCATCGGGTAGAGAACACCCAGGGTCACATCCTCTACGCCTTTTTGGTGGAGAACAAGGAACGAGAGGGTCGGGTGGTACACTTCTCTGTGCTCAAGGCGGAGACAGCCACCTCTGTGGCCAAGATGCTGAGCATCTTTACAGAGTTTAATTCTGATTGGTCCAAGGTCAAGGTGGTCTTTGTGGACCCTTCCTTCCCTCACCGAGACACTCTGCAGGAGATCTTCCCTGCTGCCCGTATCCTCCTTTCCATCTACCACACAACCCGGCTCCTGGAGAAGAAGTTACATCGGAGTTCAGCAAATGCGTCTTTTAAAAGGCTCATGAAGGAAGCTCTTCGGGAGGCTGTGTTTGTCACTTCTGATGCAAGTCTGAAAACTCTCTGTCAGATGTCCCAAGCTCTGTTGGATGAGGATCTCTTCAGCTTCCTGCAGGCCCACTGGTTCTCCTGTGGACTGCTGTGGTACATGCACGTCAGGAAGGGCTTGCATGCATGTAACACCTACATGGACAGCCTGGACATTGTCACCAGCAAAGTGTCAAGCCTCTTTCGGGAACAGCAGTCCTTACTAGACTGCATCCTTTGCTTTGTGGATTACATAGACTTCTTTAATACCAAAGGCTTGAAGAACTTACCCACAGCTCCTCCCAAGTTAAAGAGGACCCGGCCTCCAAGCATGCCAGCAAGGGCCAAGAAACCTTTCGGAATCTGTGGCGGGAGCCTTGCCAGCCTCCCTGCGGAAAAGGTAAAGCCAGACTCACAGCAGGTTCCATTGCAGCAGCAGCCCCAGGGACAGCCCTCTCAGGGAGGCATGCTAGACACCTTGCACCAAAGTGGCTCTGAGCTAGCCTACAAGCTGTGTCACAATGAGTGGGAGGTGGTACAGAATTCCACCCACCTGGTGGACCTGGCAGGTTCTGCAGTGGCCGTTCAGCTGCTAGAAGATTCTCACCAGGTGAGCAAAGATGGCTCTAGCTGCAGCTGCTCTTTTCAACAATGGTACCACCTGCCATGCCGGCACATTTTGGCCCTGCTGCATACCAGTCAGCAGCCAGTAGGTGAGGCTATGGTGTGCCGGCGGTGGCAGAAGAAGTATCAGCACCTTCTTGGGCCTAATGGGGAACTCCAGGACCGTAGTGTGATCCCAAATACAGACCAGCCTGAAAAACAAGGTCAGAACCACATGATTCAGGACCTAAGCAGGGAGCTAGCAAACCTGCTAATGCAGACTGAGGGGCCCGAGCTGGAGGAGCGCTTTTCTACCCTGCGCAAGATTGTGGACATCTGGGCGGACCCATGTCGTCCATCTGCGTCCAGCCAGCAATCAGAAGACTTCAAGGATGTGGGCAGCCTCCCTTTCCTCTGGGGAAAGCAGGAGGAAGGGGAGGAACACCCTCTTGCTGAAGCCATGATTCATGATTGAAGCACTTGCACTTGTGCATTGGACACTAGCCCCCTCTCTTTGGAAGTTCAGGAGTTGAAAGTGGGCAGGTCATGCTAGGTCAGTACGTTAAACGATGTCTTCCTGGGTAGGGCTAGGAAGATTGTTAAAATAGGGAAGAGAGGAACCACACTGCGTGACAGTCCTTTGAACCTGCCCCTTTTTGGTTCTACGTTTGGCATTCCATGGGCATCTCATCCATTGTTCAAGGCCAAAGTTATCTCATGCAAAAGGTCACCTCACTTTTTTTTCTCTGACTTCTGGGATCAGATTTTATTCACCCTACAGAGATGAACCCCTGATCAGGATGAGACAAAATGGGCCTGGTAAAAGGGCCATTTTCAGGGACAAAGGGAAGGAGGGTGATCCTTGACTGTTGCTGCTCTTTATGAAGAATTTGTTATTTGTACCTATTTTTATTTATATTAAATAAAGGTTTTTTTTAAAAGAAAGAAAATAAGCAGGGGAAATGTGTTTCATTTGATCAGGAAAGGAAGGGGAATTGCATAGCAGGACTCCTGGCTTTACTGTCAGGAAGGGGGTCCCCTCTAGTGGGTTTTTATCTTTTGCATTGCTGGGGATTGAACCCAGAGCCTTGTGCTTGCTAGACAAGCTCTCTACCACTGAGCTACATCCCCAGCCCTTAAGTATTTATTAATTTTAAAGGAAATTGACTATTGTCTAATGGAGTGTGAAGCCAAATAGAACCTGATGCCTCAAATGTGGAGTTACAATGCACCGCTTACTTTGCCCTCTTCCTATCAACCAAGACTTCAATGTTGAATTTCAGGTGGCCTTATATTCATTCTAGAAGGAGGACACCAAATCCACTTCGAGCACAGAAACTCAAATCCTAAATTCTCCTGCCAGCAGGTTGCTAGAGAAACTATGGACAAGTTCTTAATTTCTTTCTTCCTTCCTTTATATTTATTGTGGTAATGGAGATTGAACCCAAGGCCTACCACTTCAGCCATATCCACAGACCTTTTGTTTTTATTTTTCAAGATAGGGTCTTGCTAACTTTGCCGGTGCTGGCTTTAAACTCTTGATCCTCCTGCCTCTGCCTCCTGAGTAGCTGGGATTATAGATATGAGTCACCATGCCCAACCTTATTTATTTCTTGAGACAGGTCTCACTGGTTTGCCCAAGGCTAGGAATTCTCCATCCTCCTGCCTCAGCCTCTATAGCTGGGGTTATAGGCATCAGCCACCCCAACCAGCTGAAAGTCTGAATTTGTTAACTCCAGGTTCTTCATTTGTAAAAATCATGTTGACCTGTGGTAATCCTGAATTTCCCAAGGGTCTACATAAACATTTTCATTATAGTAATAAGCATCAAGACTGACTTGATTTTTCTTGTTTACCACCACCGACTTTTGGTAGTGTTGGTAATCTTTTGGGGAGGGGGCAATATGAAGTTTGAACTCAGGGACTCAGGCTTGCTAGCCTGAGCTCTACTACTTGGGCCACGCCCCCAGGTCCTAGCCCTAGTTGGGTATCTTAATCTCCAAAGCCTGGAGCTTTCGAAGACTGCCATCTTCAGGGGAACTGTGGAAGAAAGGTGGCAGCCAGTTCACGTTCTCTCTCTCCCTCTCCCTCCCTCCCTCTCTCCCTCTCACCTTCCCTCCCTCTCTTGATTTCCTTAGCTGCGAGGGTTGGCTGCGGAAGAGGCTGAATTTGAGACCTGGGCCTCAATTTCCCCATAAGAGTACACACTACAACTATAGATTTGCACGCTTTCCCAACCCTCTGAGACGTTGGAGTTTGACATCCCCCCACAAAAAAAGAAAAGATTTCCGTAAAACACCGCTATTATATTTTCCTTTAAGGCCTTTAAGGGAGTTTCCATAGCAATGCGTCTTTCCAGTGTTGGAGCCTGAATCCAGAGTTCCAGGCTTAACTGCAGACGAAACGCCCCTCCCTCGGGCTTTAATTGGTTGCCGCCAGCCGAGCCCCTCGTAACCCTGGCAGCAGCACCCGCCCCGGAATCGGCGACCAATGATTGGTCCGTGACACCAAAGCCCGGCCGCACACTCCTCAGGCCATTGGCCTGAGTCGCTGTGAAACTGAAGCCGTGGTTCGTGAACTTAAAGGTCAGTCAGAGGCGGAGGCAGGGTCAAATAGGGAGACATGGCAACCCCACCAGGCTGTAGGTGATTTCAGGGGGAGTGGAACTGTAAAACATCAGATCACCGCGGTCAGCCATTACACAGCTCCCAGAGGGTGGGAGGTTAACTTCACCGGTCTGTCAGACTCCGAACGTGAACGTCAGTCATCCCACACCCGGGATAAAGGTGAGAGGTCAAAGGTCGCATTCCCTTTATGTTCCTGGGGTTTGGACCTTGTGGGACGCCATCTGTCTGGATCTCGAGCCAAAGACTCGGCTTCCAGCTATTGAAGGTAAAGTGGGTAAATGGCTTTAACGTCTTTGAGCCTCAGTTCCTCATCTGTAAAATGGAGACAGTAACCCATTTGGAGGCCACATAGTGGAAACATTTGAACAGAGCGTTGCAGGGATGAACGTGGAGGCATAAAAAGCTGCTCGCATTTGTTAGCCGCATTTTATGGTGGAAGGGATTGAGGCTGAGAGGGTCACTGACTTGCCCAAGATCTCACAGCAAGTTTGGGTGATTATAGAGTTCTCTTCTATAGACACTAGGACCAAAGAAAAGAATGGATGCCAAGAAGTAATTTGTAAATTTAAAGGCTATACAAATATTCAGAATTTCAGAATGCTTTTTTTTTTTTTTCTTTTCTTTTCTTTATGATACTCAGGGCCTCACACTTGCTAGGCAGGCACTCTGCCACTTAAGCCACTCCACCAACCCTATGAGTTAGGGTTTTTTTAACCCTCATTATCCTATACATCCTTCCTTATTTGTTTACATGTGTGTTGTGTATCTCCTCCTAGAAATATGCTGACACTTAAGTGTTCAATAAATATTGTCTAGATGAATAATTGAGGAGCCAAGTCCCTATTGTCTCTTAAACTTCTGTTCCTCTCCATAGGTCCATCTTTGGAAACTACAGTCCAGCCTCAGACTCCACTTTCTTGGAGCTTGAGACACAAAGCCTCCTGAGTAGCAGTCCTGCAGAGAAAATATTTTAGCCTGGGCATTTAGACGTCTCTCATTCCTCCCCCACCCCACCCCCCCATGGCACTCACAATGCTGAATGGGCTTCTCATTAAGGATTCAAGCCCACATATGCTGCTGCACCAGGCTAGCAAGATTTCCCAGCTGGATACCTTCAACTACCAGAGCTGTTTTATGCAAGATATCTTTGCCCATTTTCCTGAGGTCTTATTTATCCACCGGACCTATAACCCAAGGGGTAAGGTGTTATATACCTTCCTGGTGGATGGACCTCGAGTGCAGATGGAGGGGCCTCTTACCCGTGCAGTCTACTTCGCCATCCCTGCCAAAGAGGATGCAGAAGGCTTGGCTCAGGTGTTCCAGGTGTTCAAGAAGTTTAATCCAGCATGGGAGAGAGTCTGCACCATCCTGGTGGATCCCCACTTCCTTGTGCTGCCCACCCTAACCATGGAGTTCCCCACAGCAGAGGTCTTGCTCTCAGCCTTCCACATCTGTAAGTTCCTCCAGGGCAAGTTCTATCAGCTGTCCCTCGAACAGCCTGTGGAAAGGTTGCTCCTGACCTCCCTACAGAGCACAATGTGCTCAGCCACATCAGGCAACCTAAGGAAGCTGTATACCCTCTTGAGCAACTGCATCCCCCCAGCCCGGCTGCCTGAGCTGCACTCACACTGGCTGCTCAACGACCGCATCTGGCTGGCCCACCGCTGGAGAAGCCGAGCCCAGAGCAGCCGATACTTCCAGAGCCTCGAGGTCACCACCCGCATCCTCAGTCAGTTCTTTGGCACCATACCCTCTGAGAAACAAGGAATGGCCTCTCTGTTCCGCTACATGCAGCAGAACCCTGGAGACAAAGCAAGCTTTAGCATAGGAAGTCCCCAAAACAATCATACCCCCTCAGATGTCAGCCCTGAAAGCCCCAAAGTAGAACAGTTGGTAGAAGCTCGCATCCAACACTCTCTTAATGCCATCTGCACAGGACCAGCAGCCCAGCTCTGCCTGGGAGAGTTTGCTGTGGTCCAGAAATCCATGCACCTCATTGGCTCTGGCTCAGAAAAGATGAACATACAGATCCTAGAGGACACCCATAAGGTGCAGCCCCAGCCCCCTGCCAGCTGCAGCTGTTACTTTAACCAGGCCTTCCACCTGCCCTGCCGTCACATCCTAGCCATGCTCAGTGCCCGCCGCCAAGTGCTCCAGCCAGACATGCTGCAGGCTCAGTGGACAGCAGGTTGTGCCACCAGTTTAGACAGCGTCCTGGGCAGCAAGTGGAGTGAGACCCTGGATAAACACCTGGCAGTGGCACTTCTCACAGAGGAGGTGGGTCGACTCCTGCAGCACTGCAGCAAGGAGGAGTTTGAGCGACGGTACAGCACCTTGCGGGAATTGGCTGACAGCTGGATCGGCCCTTACGAGCAGGTGCAGCTCTAATCACTCTGGATGCCTAGAGATGCCCTGGCACAAGTATACACTCACGTCCTTGCCAACACACACACACACTCCTTCTCTCTCAATTGTAGTTTCACGAGCCTTCCTTTCCAAACAAGGACAAGAGCTTTCTACTCTACTATAGCCTGCTACCAGGAATGTGTCTAGCTCCATAAGACAGGAGTCAGCAAATCTTCTGGAAAGAGCCCAGTAGTAAATAGTGTAGACTTTGATGATCACATAGTCACTGTTGTATATTCTTGGTTTAGTTTAACCTTTTTATAAGATAAAAACAATTCTCTGTTCAAAGATTTTATGAAGTCAGGCAACCCTAATCTAAGATAAGAGAGAAGACTTTGGGTGGCAAGATTGAAGGTTGCCATGTGGTAACCACTGCCATAGTCAGGTGAGATGTCTCACCTGACCCGTGTCCTGTGTGAGCTGGCCTGGGAGCCTCTGAGCAACCAGAGGAAGGTTGCTCAGGGAGGTGGCTTAGCCAGGCTCCCAGGATTTTTATCCCTGCTCCATCTCAAGGTCAATAAAGTTAAATGTGGTACATTCCAGCACTTGTCTAGTCTTTTGTTTTGTAGAAGACCATTTGGGGTAATTGTGAAAGGAATAGAATTTGGAATGTGAGACTACATGCAAATCCTGGTTCTTTCCTTGTCTTATTTTTAGGGCTTGGTTCTACCTTTATTAGCTATGGGACTCTGAGCAAGTCAGCTCTCTAAGCCTCAATTTGCTTATCTGTAAATGGGCATCCGTTAGTGCAGGCACCTAGTGGGTGCTCAGCCAAGTGTTCATGTTCCTTCCTTACCCACAGTCCCATTCCCTGCCTTCAACAGGCTGGGAAATTTAAGGCAAAAGGAAAATTCACATTGCCTAGGACTTTCTACAAGAAACTTTGACCAAGTCTTCAATATAGAGAAGCCTCTGCTCTCCAAGCAGGGCCCCCTACGTAGGTAATTATATCTGTTTGATCAGACCTATCTCTTGTCTCAGTGGCACAAGAGAAACTTGCTGGGGTCTAGGCTCTAATGAAGACTGGAATTTGTCAGAGTGGCTCAACCACTCACCTTTATCCCCATCCCTGCCGTAGCCCCGCCAACCCTATCTGCCCAAAAACCATACAGAGAAGCCACCCTATGTGTCTGGTGCTATTTCATCCAGCTACAAGCAAGAGCCAGGAGGCTGGCCCCTCCTGCATCTCACTAGGGGCACCTGCCCAGAGACCGCGTGGGCACGTGCCTGCTCCCACCGTGCCCCCTCCATAGCACTCTCTGGCTCCGGATGGGCCATCATGAAAGCTTGAGCTGCCCGGATCAGGTCCTCTTCCCGCAGGCCTGGGACGGGCACAGTGGGGATGCCAGCGATCATCATGGCCAGAGTGAGGATGCAGATGTCAGGCTGGGAGCTGGCCTCCTTCCCCCCTGCCTCAGAAGGCCTTGGCAGAACCCCTGGTGACAGCCCCCACAGCAGCAGGGGTCCAGACGTGCTGGGGCCACCCGGGCGGGGTGGTGCCCTGGCTCTGGAGCAGCCATCCTCCCAGCCCAAGCTCTCTGGCTGCCTCATGGTGGGGAATTTGGGGCAGTATCGGCTGTACTCCTTTCTCCGCAGTGTCTCCCAGCTAGTGTTCCCAGGGCAGCCCCTGGTTTCAGCTACTGCCAGGGCAGGGCCCCAGGCTTGGGCAGCAGGTATCACCTGCTCGGTTTTCTGGCTCAGTGGGCCTAGTCCACCAGAGGCCACCACCACTGGCTCTGCAGGACTATAGAGGCCAACGGATGAACCAGCAGAAGCAGCCCCACCTGCAGAGACAGGAATGAGATAGAATGTTATTCTTGTTCTCTTTGAGGAAGAAGCCCTGAGGGGCAGGGCTTGGGAGCAGAAGCAAGCAAGAACCAGCCCAAGAGGAATGTCTAGAAGTTGGGGACTAAATGTTACTCATACCCAGTCCCCAAAACTGAGCAGGTGATGGTGAAGTGTTTGTTGGATAAATAAGTGGGTAGTTAGTAATTAGCAAGGACTTGGAATGCCTTTTCTTCTAAGACAATTGACTCCTGGGCCAGTCCAAAACTGCCCAGCACAACCTCCACCTCCCCAGAGCCAGGAAGCAACTTCACATGGAAAGTTGTGGTGCCCCCTCCAGTTCCAGGAGCCCCTCTCTCACCTGGGCCAGAAGGCAGAAGACCCCGCTGGGTTTGTGGAGACATGAAATAGGACATGGTCTCCCTGAACAGTCCTAAGCCTCTTACCCTGCCCTCTCCACCCTTCTGGAGTACCACCTCATAGTCCCTCCCCGTACACCTGGGACTTACGTCACAGCACTGACCTGTTCATTCTAGAACCTATATGACAATGGATGGGTGTGAAAAGAGCAGGCCCAGGGTGTTCTAGGCTCTTGCCCTTACCTTGGGCAAGTTATCTGGACAGTTTATCTGGTTGATTGGTTGTTTTTTTTGTTTTTGTTTTTGTGTTTTTCAATGCTGGTGATCAAACCCAGGGCCTTCTGCATGTTAGGCTCAAGCCAATCACTGAATTACCTCCCCTGTCCATCTGGACAGTTTTTTTTGTTTTGTTTTTGGGATTCAGGGCAGTACTAGGGCTTGAACTCAGGGTCTTACACTTGCTAGTGCTCTACCACTTCCGCCACACCTCCAACCCCTATCTGGACAGTTTTGTTCCTCAATATCCTCATCCATGAAATGTGGGTGGTGACTGCCCCCTACTTACCAGGAGTTGGGGGGATGAGATGAGCTCATCCGTATGGAAGTTACCAATCAGAGATACAAGTAAAGGAGTCTAGAGTTCTGTGCCCCGTGTGAGACAAGCAGTATTCTTCATTCAGTCATGTGCTATTTGACCTTGCACAACACAATCTCAGCTCTGGACCTCAGCTTCTCCTATGCCAAATTAAATGTTTAACCTATTGCACTGGTTCTCAGCTCAGGCCACGTGTTAGAATGTCTTTGAAGTCTAGCCTCATCCCAGATCAATGAAGTCAGAATCCCAAGGATCAGACGCACATATCAGTATGTTTAAGTTCCTGAAGAGACTATAGTATGTGCCAAAGTAGAAACCTCTATCTAGGGAAACACTTCCCAACCCTGACTGTACAATCTCAAAAGGGCCTTAAAAAAAAAAATTCCAGGTCCCTATCAAAGGGACTTTTTACAAAAATAAATAAATAAATGACATGTCTATGCCTAATCCCCCAACAAATTGAAGAATTTCTACAGACAGATTCTGAGCCATCAGGACTTTTTTTTTTTTTTTTTTTTTTTTTTTTTTTTTGGTTCTGGGGACCAAACTCAGAGCCTTGCATTTGCCAAGCAAGCTCTCTTCTACTGATCTAAATCCCCAAGTATCCCAAATAACTCTAAAGAGTGGCCAGGCTAGGAAGCCCTGATGTAGATAGACAAGAGTCTAAAATGTTCTCTCTGACTGACTTGCCGACTCACAGTGATTCTAGAAGTGCTGCGGGGGCAAGGAGACCCTCCAATGCTCAGAATGTCAGCATCGGCTGTGTTTATTTCTGGTCCTGGTTGGCAGCAGTGTGGCCCACTTCAGACCAGCCACAGCTCTGGGGTCCTGCTCTCTGCAGACTTTCACTCATACTTGCAGAAATCCTTAAGTCCCTTGGGCAAGTGGAGCCCGTCAATGGCCAGCCGGTGCACCACGCTCCTCTGGATCACTAGGCGGCACAGAGTCTGCAGGGACAGCACTGTGGAGAGAAGGCCGTCAGAGGCGATCTGGATTGGAGGGGGTAGTCTGAGGCTGAGATCTAGGTTTTAGTCCCCACTTTGCCATTAACTTGGGAATTTCCTTCTGCTCTCAGGTTCAGCCTGCTCATGGGGCTGCTCATATGGCTCCTGAGAACTTTCACCATGCTGTAGCCCTTTTCTATTATAACGCAGCCCAATCCCTTCCTCTTTCACTTAGTAGCTGGGGGAGATAGTGTTGGATTTGTCTATGCAACCACAGCCCCAGCACAGAGCAGGTGCTAGTTAACTTAACCAAGTTCACAATTAGAGATATAAATCAAAGGCTTAATGGGGCTGTAAGGAACCAGATCTAAGTATTAAATTGTTCTCCATCTGGGGTCTGAGATGCCTCTAAACTGATAGAAAAATGCTCATAGATTTGAGCCTAATAAAAGAGCACAAAATTCTCAAGAGGCTCAAGACCTAAAATTAGTTTAGAATCCTCATCTTGGTTTAATACTGGAAACGTCCAAACTAAAAGGGACCTGCCAGGCATCTTAATCAATCAGCTAGGATAGGTATAACTGAAGCCTGTAGCCAAGAATGACTTGTGCAAAATTACAAGCGGTCGTGCAAACTGAAGCCAGAATTCTCCCGGTCTAAACTAATGCTGAGCTAGGCCTAGTAGCTGACCAGGGAGTCCTACCAGGTTCCTGTCACCACATTGGGCCAGGAGGGGTCGCTGCCCAGGGGGCGGGATACCTACGGCCATACTCGAGCTGGACCAGGCGCACACTCTTGGTGGAGGCAAACACGTCCACCACCGCGTAGAGGGGCTGAGCAGCTGGCAGCCCCCGGGCACTAGGGCCCATGTCCTCGCCGTTGATGACGATGTGCATGTCGGCGGTGCCATCCTGGTGCGGGCAGAAGAGAACGCCCAGGCGGCTACGGCGCGCGGTGGGAGGCAAAACGTTCAGCTCATAGAGCTGGTCCAAAAGGTGGCTATAGAGCCCTGGCTGGCTGCGGCCCACCAGGCGGTCCCGGGGGATTCGGAACTGCTCAATGCACAGATATGGTTCTTCCAGGAGGGCCGGGGGTCGGCTGGGGACCACTACCTCTGCCTCGTGTTGGCCCTCTCGGGGCACGCGGTTGTGGTGGCGCGTGATGGCGAAGACCCAAGTGTGGCCCAGGTTGACTAGGTCGGGCAGCGAAAACTCGGGTACGGTGGCCAGACTGGAGGGGTCCAGCGCAGTTAGGCCGAGGCGCAGGTGTCCGCACCAGCCCAGCTCTTTCTCCTCGATCTCCACCAGGAATACCTGGCCAGGGGCCAACGGCTCGTGACTGAAGCACACACCGTGAGCGAAGCTCTCCACGCGTGTGGCCCGCGTCCCCGAGGGGTCCACACGGATGTTGGCTCCATGCACCCGATGGAAACGAGTGGAAGGGGGCTCTAAACGCGCGGGGCCCCAGGGGGCACCCACCTCCACCCGGTCGGAGGCAGCAGCCATGTCCCAGCCATGAGATAGGCCAACTGGCGCCAGGAACTATTTTGGGCGGCGAGCTCAGACGGTGACCGCAGAGGGGACCATGTAAGGCATTTCTTCCCACCCCCCTTCCCACTTCCCGGAGTCTCTGCCCGGGGGTCCTAGCGCCGCTTGCTTAAGCATTCCGCCCAGAACAGGTCCCCCGGAGGCTGGGGGCCCGGCCATCCACACCCAGATCATCTGATCGCTGACACACGGACGACGCTCCGCGAGGACCGCGGACCTTCACCAGGCAATTGACCGTTCCTGCCCTTGTGGCCCACAGAGGAGGAAGAATGACGACTGTCACGTGACGACGGAACCCATGTGATTCGGAGTACACATGACTTCCAGGCTTCTGGTGCCTCCTGGCCAGTAAGGACGCAGGGAAGCAGAGGTGAGGACTCCAGGGCTGGAAGGGATCCCCGAGCTCGGGGGTCGGTGGGCGGCGAAGGAGGCTCAGCCGGTGGGATCTGAGACAGGTCAGGGGCTCCCCACGGCCAGGCGCGCCAGCTCCTTTCCAGGGGCCGCTGCCCGGAAGCGCCGGGGAGCGAGGGAGCTGGTAAACACCCCGCACCGCCACTTCCTTACGCAGATGGTCCGTGCCGCGCGGTCGCCGCTGTTCCCGCTGCTGCTGCTCGTGTCCTGGCCATACCGAGGCGGGGCTGCCCCGGAACAGGACGAGATCCAGTGCCTTCCCGGGCTGGCCAAGCAGCCGTCTTTCCGCCAGTACTCCGGCTATCTCCGAGCCTCGGACTCCAAGCATTTCCATTACTGGTCTGCGGCCCTGGCTCCCTGGGCGGGCGGGTGGGAGCACTTACACAGTCCCCCTTAGGGGAGATGTGCTCTGGCAGGGGAGTTCTGAAGACAGCGCAAGGCTGGACCAGACCCCTTCACCTGCACCAACCCTGCCCTGACCCCTTTCCAGGTTTGTGGAGTCCCAGAAAGATCCAAAGAGCAGCCCTGTGGTTCTCTGGCTCAATGGGGGTCCCGGCTGCAGCTCCCTAGATGGGTTCCTCACAGAACACGGCCCCTTTCTGGTGAGTGGATAGCTGCTCTCTTGCCCTGTCACCCAGGAAAGAGAGGGAAGGGACAGTTCCCCAAGAAAAAGGCTGGAGAAGGCAGACAAAGGGACTATGGTTTTCCAAAACTTTTCCTTCTTCCTGAGCCTAGGTTTTTTCATCGGCTCCATTGGCTTAATTATCACCCAGTTACAGGGCTAGCACCATGGCTCTTTCCTATACCTAGTTAGTGCTTGGCACTCACTGAACCATCTCTTTCCTCCTCAGATCCAGCCAGATGGTATCACCCTGGAGTACAACCCCTATTCTTGGAACCTGGTAATAGCTGGAGCTGTGGGTTTTGTGGAGAGTGTCTGGGCATTTGGACAGGGTGGAAAACCCTCTTCTGCTCATTTTCTCCTCGCTCTAGATTGCCAATGTGTTGTACATTGAGTCCCCAGCTGGAGTGGGCTTCTCCTACTCAGATGACAAGGTTTATGCGACCAATGACACTGAGGTAAGTTCAGTGCCTGTCCTCTTACCCCAGCCTCCCTGGTGGAGTAGGTGGCATGATAAGGGGGGAGAGAACATGGCTCCAGAGTCCACTTTTGGCTCTGTTCCATGCTATATGGTGTGATCATAGCCATGTCACTTCCTCTTGCACAAACAGGGTAGGTTGGTTTTGTTATCACTGAGGATCTTTCTAAGGGCAAATACCAAGCCTCCCAATTCTCTCCTTCCTGCAATCCCCCAGGTTGCTGAGAGCAATTTTGAAGCTCTTAAAGACTTCTTCCGCCTGTTTCCGGAGTATAAAGACAGCAAACTTTTCCTGACGGGCGAGAGCTATGCTGGCATCTACATCCCTACACTGGCTGTGCTGGTCATGCAGGACCCCAGCATGAACCTGCAGGTGCAGGAGGGAAGGGAGGCACCCTCGGCATAGCCTTGCACTTAGTAATGTCAGCCTGGTCAACACCCCCCATCAGCCCCGCCTCCTTCACAGCTGCCTGGCCACCGGCTACCCTGTCTGCTTGCAAGCCTTCTATACAGGAACCTTGCCTGTCAGGCTGCCAGTTCTGTTCATATTGAGTGACCTCCCACCCACCTCCACAAACCATCCTGGTTTCAACTTCCAGATTGCAAAAGGTCTAGGTGTAGGTCAAGAGAGGTTCTTCCTCATCCTCACCCTCCAGATGAGCTGACAGCCCTGGGTGTTTTACAGGGGCTGGCTGTGGGCAATGGACTCTCCTCCTATGAGCAGAATGACAACTCGCTGGTCTATTTTGCCTACTACCATGGCCTTCTGGGGAACAGGTATGGAAGTTCAGTTGGGCAATCTTTGGGCGGGGCAGGTCACGAGATCCCAGGTCCGTCCCCTAGGCAAATGCTATCCCAGGGCCTGCCCTAATCTATAAGCAGATGGGGATGGGGCTGCCCAGAGAGTTTGGTGCTCAAAGGCCAAGAATAGAAATCAGGATTTAAAGAGAATAAGGCAGGCCAGGAATGTAGTTCAGTGGTAGTGGCTCACACCTGTAATTCTAGCGACTTGGGGGAGACTGAGACTGGGAGGATCAAGGTTTGAGGCCAGCTTGGGCAAATAGTTTACAAGACCTCCATCTCCAAAGTCAACAGAGCAAAAAATGATCTGGAGATGTGACTCAAGCAGTAGAGTGCCTACTTTGCAAGTGCAAAGGCCTGAGTTCAAACCCTAGGCCCGCCAAAAATAAAAAGAGAAGCTAGGTGCCAAGTGGCTCATATCTGTACTCCTAGCTGCTTAGGAGGCAGAGATCAAGAGGATTGCAGTTCAAACCCAGCGAGGCAAATAGTTCAAGAAAAACCCTTCACAAAAATAGGGCTGGTGGAGTGGCTCAAGGTGAAGGCCCTGAGCTCAAGCCCCAGTACCACAAAATAAATAGAGAAAGAGAGACTAAAGAGGGCTATCTGTATGGCAGGGGAGCAGACTCTTTGGAAGCTACCCACACACCACATCCTGTGGTGAGAGTTTGGAGGGGAAGAAGGGGGAAGACTTGTCACCTCTGCCCACCATGAGCCTAAGTTCTTGCCCTCTGATCTCCTACAGGCTCTGGTCTTTGCTCCAGACCCACTGCTGCTCTCAGAACAAGTGTAACTTCTACGACAACAAAGACCCAGAATGTGTAACCAATGTGAGGTTCTGTCCCTACTGTATCAGCCCTGCCACCCTAATCCTGAAAACAGGATCACATCCCCTCCTTGGGGACTCTCTGCCCCCTAGTGCCATTGCTTATCTATGCTGTACCCTGCAGCAATGTCGTGTTCTCTGGGGTACCCAGTGAGGAAGCTGAGGCCAAGGGTGTTTAAAGTCACTTGTCTGAGTCACAATGATAGGAAATGGTAGCGCTAGAATTGGACCCAGGTCTGGAAGACTACTTCACTGAGCCTCAGTTTCCCTACCTGTGAAAAAAGTTGGTCAAGGGTGATGAAGGGGTGAAGTATGAGAACAATGAATCTTGGGGTCAGTGGGTGAGGTCGTGGACGGCAAGGGATCTGTAAAAGGTGCTGGTGTATTGTCACAGCTTCAGGAAGTGTCTCGCATCGTGGGTAATTCTGGCCTCAACATCTACAACCTCTATGCCCCATGTGCTGGGGGGGTGCCCAGTGAATTGAGGTAAGTGATGCTGTATATCCCCCTGGGCCAACTCCAGCCCAGTCTGGAGGCCCAGCACCCATGCCCCACATACACACTTCACTTGCAGATATGAGAAGAACACTCTTGTGGTCCAGGATTTTGGCAACCTCTTCACTCGCCTGCCACTCAAGCGAGTGTGGCATCAGGTGTGTGATAACATGGCTCTCTCCCTGTGGGGTGGGTGGGGCAGGCAAGCAAAGACTCTGACCCCACGTCTGTGTCTCTAGGCACTGCTGCAGCGTTCTGGGGAGAAGGCACGCATGGACCCCCCTTGCACCAACACCACAGCTGCTTCCACCTACCTCAATAACCCGTATGTGCGTAAGGCTCTCCACATCCCCGAGCAGCTGCCTCGCTGGGACTTGTGCAGGTGAGCTTCTGTGGCCACTTGTGGCTCGGGACAGCAGGCTGTTGGGGCTGGGCTTCTCAAGGGGGCAGTATGGACATTCAGGGTGTGAAAATTAACTGCTGTACAGGAGGTGTAATGTCCCTGACCTCCAAGTTGTTTGATACTCAGCCAGTTCATTCATAAGTGGCCACGCTAGTTAATATCAATTGTTTTTCTGACATTTAGTAAGTGGACACTATCCCAACCCTCACTTCATTGCCAGCCAGAGCTGCCCAGATCTGCTGTGCACCCCAAATTAAAAGGGTAATGTCTGGCACAGTCAAGAATGCTCAGAGCCCGAAATCTGCATTGTTACATGCTTTGACTTTCACACCTGCTGGCCTGTCCACACGGACTGCCACTTGCACCCCAGTCATTGAAACAAGCAAAAAGTACCCCTGTACATTTCTAAAGGAGAGTGGGTCAATATCCACGTAAATCCCAAAGAAGTGACATACCCAAAGAGGGTTGACTAAAGCCCACCTGCTCCTAAGGCTGGAGGTTGGGGAAAGGACAAAAGATGTGGTTTGTTGACTCTTTTTTTCCCTGCTCTTCCTGGGGCCTGCACGTGCTCCCGGCAGCCTGCTGGTGAATTTACAGTACCGCCGTCTCTATCAAAGCATGAACTCCCAGTACCTGAAGCTGCTCAGCTCACAGGTGTGTAGGGGACAGCACAGTGAGATCCACCAACCAGCTTTAGAGCCCTAGAGTAGCACAGCAAGCTGGGGGCCTCTTTAGCGCTCCCCTCAGGACCAAGGAAGCAGAAATTCCTAGAGGTGAAGTCCTTTGCTTGAGCTCTGTGGGTGGATCTGTCTCTATCTTGTGCTACCATGCAATAGGAGGCCAACAGACCCACGTCAGTCAAGGAGCCTTTCGAATGAGAAGAGCTAATGGGTCATGTCACAGATAGGCGAATGGATGTCATTCCCCAAGGGCAAAGTACCTTTACTAGTCATATGAACAAGTTTCTTAAATGTCTGTAGGTTCCCTGTCTGAAAAATGGGGACAGAAAGGCTGGAGTGCATAACTGTAATTCTAGTACTCAGGAGGCTGAAGCAGGAGGAGCTCAAGTTCTAGGACAGCCTGGGCTACATAGCAAGACCCTGTTTCAAAAAAAACAAAAATAGGGGAAAACAGGTGGGGATAATAATGGTATTTACCTTCATGCAGGGAAAAGTGTTTAGTGAGTATTCACTGGACATGTGTAAGCACTTAACTGCAAGAATTTCCTAGTTCATCCTATTTAGCTGGTGCCTTGAATGTCTTGAAGGGTAGAGCTTGAACCAGGGAAGAACTGGGGACATGCCATTTTCCCCCTTACCCTTTCCAGAAATACCAGATCCTGTTATACAATGGGGATGTGGACATGGCCTGCAATTTCTTAGGGGATGAGTGGTTTGTGGATTCCCTCAACCAGAAGGTAAGGCAAGGATTCCTAGCCTTGGGATAAGATTGAGGGAGTGGGTGTGCCTAGGAGTGGCTCTGGTCCAGAGGGCAAACCTGGAGAATACTTTCTGGTCCCTGAGGCAAGATCTTGCTGGCAGCTGTGAGTGCGGGTGGTAGGGCTGGAGGCTGAATGTCTTTCCTGGTGGTGCAGATGGAGGTGCAGCGCCGGCCCTGGCTAGTGGACTATGGGGAGAGCGGGGAGCAGATTGCTGGCTTTGTGAAGGAATTCTCCCACATTACCTTCCTCACAATCAAGGTAGGACCTGGGACTACACCTGGGGAATGATAACTGGTCCAGAGGGGAAGGGACAGAACCCATCCATCTTTACTTTCTGGCTTCTTTTTATTCTGGGTTACCAGTGGCCCCTGTAAAGGAAAATTTTCTGGGAGGGGGAGGTAGAAAGAATAAAGGGTTTGGAATGAAGGGGTGAGGGTTTTCCAGGAAGCGGATGGTGGGGATAAGAATCTTACAACTTTTGCACCCCAGGGCGCTGGACACATGGTCCCCACTGACAAGCCCCAGGCCGCCTTCATCATGTTCTCCCGTTTCCTGAACAAGGAGCCGTACTGATAACCCAGGGGACCAGTGGAAGTCCCCAATGCCTGATCCGGCTCTTCCCAGCCTCTTCTGCCAGGAGGGAGGTCTTTCTCCATGCAGAATGCCCCTATGAGGCAGGTCTCTGCTTCAGAACTGCCTCCCTGCACTTCGCACAGCCCTGTGCATCCCAGACTGGGCCCTAGTGTCTCACACAGCCAGCCAGCCTAGGGGCAAGTTAGCACTTTATTCCTGTGGCAGTGCCTGGCCTGGGTGGCCTGGCCCCATCCCTGCTTTAAAAAAATGCCCTTCTTGGTAGATTGACCCCATCCCAGGACCCCAACACAGCTGTCAGGACAGCCCAAGGGGAGGGGTGGACGGATTAAAATTGATGGATTGACTGATTATGGAATTAAATTGGGTACAGCTTCAAACTCCAAATTCTCTGTGGCACTTGAGGCTAGAGGGAACTACAGACTGTGGAGGAGGAAAAGGCTGGGGGTCAGGGGTGGAGGCCCAAATGCCAGCTGCCAGGGTGGGGATTAAGGACTTAGACTGCTGCTGTGGAAGGCAGAGGGGCACTGGAGGGCTCCAGGGGCCTGGCATTGGCAGGCCTGTTCTTGTCGATCACTTCTCGAAGCCCTTTGGCGAAGTGGAGGTCAGCCCCGATGGTGAGGAAGCCCTGTGCAGTGGGGCAGAGGGAGTCTGGTTCATTCATTCAGTTACTGAGACCAGAACTGAGACAGAACCCTTGGCCTTGAGGGGTTCTCAAGTCTAGTGGGAGAGACAGTCAGCAAAGTGGTTCTCCTGACTGTGTCAGGGGTGCTAAAGGGAGGCTGCAGGTCAGACTAGGGGCGCCAAGGAGGGCTTACTGGAGGAGGTGACCTGTCAGCTACGGTTGGAAAGATAGCAGCTGGTTGGGGCAGGGGTGGTGAAATATTCCAAGAAAACACTCCTGAGAAAGGGCTGGAGGAGTCTGATAAGACTAAAGCAGCAGGGTGGATCAGGGGTGTAGTTCAGGTAGTAAAGTGCTTCAGTGCTCAGTAACACACACACATGCACACACATACCTTAAAGCAGGTGGGGGGCAGTTGGTGAGGGGGGACTGAGATAGGAACTGGAAAGGCAATGGGGAACTAGAAGGAGGGGAAAGCTTTGACCTCCACCCCCTGGAGCCTCCACTATCCACTCACCGCGTGATTTGTTACCACCTCCCGCACGAAGTCAATTCCCTCAGGTAGGGGGATCTGCACCCCATGCCAGGTCCGCTCTGTGGGTGGGAGCAGCTGGCTCATTCTGGGCCCCCCCCAGCTCTACCACCACCCCTCCCACCTCAAGTCTTACCATTGAGCATAGGCATCACCCCGATCTGTAACAGCGTCTTCAGAGGGGTCTGGAGTGGGATGAGCTGCAGGGAAAGAGGGGCACACACAGGGCAGCTTGGGCAGGGGGCTCCCCAAGCAGCTGCCAGTAGGCCCCACCCCTCCACTGCCCTCAACTCACTGCCAGTGACTCCAGCGCAGACTGGTTCGAGTAGATTTGGAACCTGCCCAAAGAGAAACAAGAGCCCTGTGGCCATGACACCTAAAAGCTCCCCTGCCTGGGATCCCCGAGTTTCAGCTTTCTAGGGGGCTCTACCACTTCCCAGGGGCGCAGCCTTGAGTGACTCAGTTCTCTGCTTTTCATCTGGTTTATACTTTTTTTTTTTAAAGCCACTTCTCTATGCCGGATGGCTGCTGCTCACTCTGCAGGTGTTGTTTGTTTTATTTAACAAACCTCTGAGTGTGCCGGGCTTGATGGTGCACACCTGTGATCCCAGCACTTGGGAGGACTGTGCTGGAAGATCATGTGTTCAAGGCCAACCTGGGCTCACAGGGAGTTCCAGACCATCCTGGGCTACATAGAGAGACCCTATCTTAAGCAAACAAACAAAAAAACCCTTACGTGATTCTAAGCTTGTTTAAAAAATTAAATATTGGCCGGGTGCTGGTAGCTCACATCTGTAATCCTAGCTATTCAGGAGGCAGAGATCAGAAAGATCACAGTTGGAAGCCAGCCCAGGCAAATAGTTAAAGAATCCCTATCTGGAAAAAACCCATCACCAAAAAGGGCTGATGGAGTGGCTCAAAGTGTAGGCCCTAAGTTCAAGCCCTAGTTCCAGGTAAAAAAAAAAAAAAAAGTTAAATGTTATCCAGGTGCCAGTGGCCCACACCTGCAGTCCGAAGCTACTTGGAAAGCTGAGATCAGGAGGATCACGGTTAGACACCAGCTCGGGGAAATAGTTTGTGACACCCCATCTCCAAAATAACACGGACTGGAGGTGTGACTCAAGCAGTAGAACGTCCGCTTTATAAGCACAAAGCCCTGAGTTCAAATCCCAGTCCCACAAAAAAGTAGATAGTGGGGGTTGGGGGCATAGCTCAAGTGATGGAGCACCTGCCAAGCAAGCACAAGGCCCTGAATTTAAACCCCAGTACTGAAAAAAAAAGTTTTTAAAAATTTTTTTTAAATGCCAGTTGATTCAGACCTTATTAACAACCCTAAGAATTGGACATTTGATAGATGAGGAAAATGAAGGCCAGGGAGGTGAAATAACTTGCCTGATGTCACACAGCTGTAAGTATCAGAACCTGCCTTTAGAATCTGAGCTCCTATTACCCTGCATTATCTCATTTACCCCCCTAGAACCGCATGGTCCAATAGAATTTTCTGCAGAAAGTTCTGCATTCTATGCTGCCCACTGTAATAGCCACAAGCTATATTATGGCTAATGAAATGTGGCTTGGTGCACCTGAGCCGCTATTTAATTGAGATTAATTTAGATATAAATGGTCACATGGCTAGTGGCTATCACAAGGGACAGTATAGCCCTAGAAAGTAGATGCTATTTTTATCTATATTTGGCGGTGGGGGAGAGGGAGAGAATGAGCCTTTGAGAGAGAAAATAAGTGGGGGGAAGGGGGGAGAAATGACCTTAACATTATATGTACATATGAATAAAAGGAAAAAAAAAAAAAGAGAAAATAACTTGTCTTAAAATCACAAAGCTATGTTTTGCTTAAATTTCTGCCAAAACCCATGTCCTCATCTGCTGTGTGACTGAGAGCATGTCATTTAGTCTTGCTGGGCCAATTTGCTTGTCTCTAATAATACCTGCTTTACCTGTCCTCCGGAGTCATGTGAAAACACAGAAGAGACGCTTTATTTTATTTTGGAGGTACTGGGGATTGACCTCAGTGCCTTGCTTTATCACTTGAGCCACAGGAGTTGTTTTAAGAAAACACTTTCCTATGTATTAGCAAAGACCAACCCCAGCTTGCCAAGGGGCTTGCAGGTCTGGTTCAGTTTTCGCTCCAGTGTTCATCTGGGTAGTTGTGTTATCCTGAAGATGTTAAGGTTCAGAGAGGTTAAGGGCCTGCCCAGGATCTCTGCCCGTCTGCATACCTGCGCAGGTCCAACCTCGTGCGCAGCGCCTTGCCTCGAAGTGCCATCTTGGCGCTGAGACGGGCTTCCTGTGGGGAAGTGTGGAGGATGTTATGGACCCCAAAGATCCACAGCCACTTCCCATTGATACCCTCCCCCCAACTACCCCATTCTAGAGCCCTCACCATGATCATGGTGGACAGATGGACCTCAGGTAGGTTCGGTGGGACCAAGGAAATGGTGACGCTGGCAGTGACAGAGATGGTAGTGCCCAAGGGCTTGATGGTGCAGCGTGGAGGAGCCATGGCCCGCAGCTCCAGTTTTAATGGGGAGTCGATCACTGCTGGGCTCTGGAGGGCAGGGAAAAGGGTGAGTCACAACCCTGATCTATTCCCTGGATAGTTCCAAAAGAAGAAGGGAGACAACCTGGGCCTCCTGGGAAACCATAGATTATAACTACCAAGACTGGTGAAGCAGCCAGGTGCCAGTGGCTCACACCTGTAGTCCTAGCTACTTGGGAAACTGGGGTAGGGAGGATAGAAGTTCGAGGCCAGCCTGAGCAAATAGTTTACCAGACCCCCATCTCCAAAATAGCCAGAGCAAAATGGACTGGAGGTGTGGTTCAAGCAGTAAAGTGCCTGCTTTGCAAGTGTGAAGCCCTGAGCTCAGTAACCCCAGTCCCACCAAAATAAAAAGGAAGACTGATAAAGCTTTCCAGACCCTCCAGAGCCATGTCTAGCCTCCATGCCTTGGCAAACAAAGGAATGTCTTCCTTCTTTTTTGGGGGGGCAGTCCTGGGGTTTGAACTCATGGCTTTGTGCTTACTAGACAGGGGCTCTACCACTTGAGCTATTCCTCCAGCCCTCCTCCTTTTTTGAGGAGTTTTTGTTGCTCAGTCTTGTCTCAAATTCTTGGATGCAAATGATTCTCTGACCTCAGCACCCCAAGGGCTAGGTTACAGGTGCATGCCACTTCACTGAACTCCCTCTCCTCCTGCTTTCCTGATATTTTCTCCTCAATACTCAGGGTCCATCCCCATCCAGACTCCTCAGGGACAGCCTTTGAGCTCATTGAGCTTGCATGTTGTTTCTTCTGAGAGCTGTGTAGAATCCTATTAAATTCAAGTGCAAACTCATCCCCACACATCTATTAGCTCATTTAAGCCTCACTACAGCCATGTAAGCCAGGTCTTATTACTATCCTCATTTTTGAGATGGATAAATTGGAGAGTTTTAACTCATCCAAGGTTATGTAATCAGTTGTAGAACTGAGAGTCAAGCCCAGAAGTCTGGTCTCAGAGATCATGCTCTTCACTGCTTGGCCATAATTTGGTAATAATGATGATGACAGCAACAGTGACAGCAGCTAGTGTTTCTTGAGCACTTGCTCCATAGCAGGTGCTATGCTAATTACCTGTATTTGTTCCTTTAACCCTCATGACAACCTTGTGACATTGTATAGTGTGTAGAAGCCAGTGTGACCTGGGAGTCATACAGATGCAAATCCAGGTTTCAAATCCCAGCTCTATCATTTACCAAACTGAACCAAGGACACAGTCTGTCATAATAACTGAAGTATTTCTTTTAAGTATTTTTGTGGTGCTGGGGATGGAAGGCAGGGCCTTGCACGTTCTAGGCAAGCACTTTACCACTGATCTACATCGTCAGTCCGCTTTTAAACTTAAACTTTCCCCTCCCCATTAAACAAGGGGAAATAAACCAAAATACTAATCATCTTTAAGACCCCTACTTGCAAGGCTTGGTTCTCTCCCAGCCTCACAACAGCTCTGAGAAGGAAGCAGGGCAGGAAGTGGCAACTCCCCTCCCCTTCACAGACTTGGTAAGGTGAGGGAGATGTGGCCACAGGTAAGAGGCCAGGCTTCTGTCTCCTCCATGGCTGTCATTGGGGATCTCCACCTGTCCCCTCACTGGTTTGCAGGTGGTATGGGTCCCCAATCCGGACCACACCCCAATCTCGCAATGCTTACCAGGAGGATGATACTCCCAAAGTAGGTGGCCCTCAGCAGCATGTCCAGATCATGCGGCACCTGGACAGGGAAATTGAGAGTGAGGCAGGGCCACAAGGAGCTCCATCATGGGCCCCCTCTTGCCTTCTCTATAGGTACTGACATACCTTGTCCCCCACCAGCGTGAGCTGCAGGGCTCCCGCCTGGAAGTAACTCTCCATGGCAGAGTCGAAGAAGAACTCAGAGAAGGCTACATACACCATCCGCTCCTCCTCCTGCAGCTGGGGCTCCACTGCCCGGTTAAAGAGGCTCCAGTTCCCCTCGGCCAGGGGGAAGAATGCCCCCTGGGATTGGGGGGATCAGGATCAGAGCCTAGGCAAACTGGCCTGTCTACCAGCCTGTGCCAGACTGCTGCTTTTGTGTGTGTGTGTGTGTGGCTGGGGAGGTTTGCTCACAGACACATTTCTTAAAAGGCATTGCAAGAAAAGCTAGTGGGGTGGCTCAAGCAGTAGAGCACCTGCCTAGCAAGTGCAAAGCCGTAAGTTCAAACCCCAGTACCACAAAAAAAAAAAAAAAAAAAAAAAAAAAAACCATTGCTAGGACAGCAGTGCCAGTGCTATCTAGAAAAGGGAGAAGCAGGAAAGGTGCCTGTCCTGGGAGAGGTGGTGGCATTTGAGTGGGCCTTGGAAGCTAGATGGCAGTATCACTGTGTATATATCCATGGTGTTACTCATTGCCAGGTACTTTCAACCCCTTTAATCCACTCTGGCACCCCTGCGAGGTGCACCTCCTCGCTATTATTTCCACTTACATATTAGGAAATGGGCACAGGAGGGTGAAACCACTTGCATAAAATAAGAGCAGGCAGCCCATCAGTGACAGAGCTGGATTTGAACTTCAGACATTCTAGCTCCAGTCTGTGCTCTGAAATTCTCTACTGCCCTCCACTAGGAGGAGCCAAGGTAGTGGCCACATTGCAGCCTCAGGCAATTGACACCACCTCCCTGCGCAAGTCTTCACATCCCTAAAATAATACAGTTGGCCTCCATATCCATAGATTCACCAACTGCCAATTGGAAAACAAAAAACAAAACAAAAAGACACTGCATCTGTACCAAGCATATGCAGACTTTTTTTGTCATTACTCTCTAAGTAACACAGTGTAACTACTATTTATGTAGCACTTACATTGTATTAGTGTTATAAGTGATCTAAAGATGATTAAAGTTTACAGGAGGATGTGTGCAAGTCACAGGCAAATACTACACCATTTTGGATCATGGCATCCACCCTGGGACCCACTGCCTTCAGAAACTGGGACGACGATATAATGTTAGTACCTGAATCACAGGGTTAGAAGAGGGAAATGGGGAAGGCAGTGCATGAGCAAAGGCCCTGGGGTGGGAGTGTTTGAGGGGTAAATCCAGGCAAGAGGAGCTACAGAGACGTGGGATGCGGTTAGAGGTGGGCCGGACATGAACAAGGCCCAAAAGGAGGTTGAACCTAAGTCTGCGGCGATGGGAGTCAGAGCCGCTCCTTAGGAAGATAAAGCCGCTCTCGGAGGAGGAGCGAGTCTGTTAAGGAGGGCGGAGGTCACACATATACTAACTCAGGCAGCTCACCCGGAATTCCATGTCTAGGTTGCTGGCAGAAGCCACAGGATCCTTCAGGAGGGAGTAGTCAATGCCAACGAGCTCATCCACGGGACTGCGCACTGCAGAGAGGGCCTGCAGTCACTCAGAGCTGTGTGATGTTGGGCAAGTGCTTAATCCCTCTGGGTCTCTCATTCACAGAACAGTGATACTCCCCTCACAGGGTTCTTAGAGGATCCGTAGTTTTTGTGGAGAAGACTTGGTGCTGGCGTACAGTAAGTGCTCAACGAGGAAGCTAAATCTATTATTTTTATTACTACTACCGCTGTTACTACCACAGGGTTCCATCAAATCGCTAAAACAAGATGACAGAGGAATCCTTTCTCTTCTTGGTTTTCCCTGGGTCATTATTAAGTGTCAGATGATGAGGACAAGTGGGGCCCCAGTGATCAGCTTGCACATGTTAGAGGCCTTGACAACCCCATGGGGACACATTGCCAGCCAAGCATGAAAAAAAAAGCCCAGAGACAAGTGAGCACTTACCTTAGGTCACACAGCAGGTCACTCGAACAGGCCTAACTCTGAGACACTAGGTCACAGCTGTAGACCCAGCCTTCTCCTGCCCCCACCCCCACACTCTAAGTCTGGCCCAGGGCCCCTGGTCCCATCAGCATCAGCTTACCAGGCACAGTGTCCAAGAGGGAATTGAGCAGAACCATCCCTGAGTGGTAGAGCACAGGGCAGATCTGGGAAGCAGGGACCAGAGTCAGGGCTTTCTCAGAGTCAGGGCACGCCCACCCCACTGCCCCCCCAATCTGCCACTCCCACACCTGCTGGTTGAGGAGGAAGCGCATCCCAGAAGTGATGAATGTGGAGAGAAAGTCATACACCTTCCTGTGAGGAGAGGAGAGGCTGGGTGAGTACAGCCCCTGCTCCCACTCAAAGCCAGGTCCAGGAGAAACAACAGTGACCAGAGAAATGGGGTACTAGGGACTCCTCAGCTTCATTCTGAATTCCCAGCTCTTTCTTGGAGGTTTTCCAAGATCCAGGCCCAACTCCTTCTCCAGCCTGATTCTCAAGACTGTCACCACCACCTACCTCAGCCAGCCAAGTGGATCTATGGACAGTTCTTCACAGCTGTTCAGAACCTACCTCCCACCCCCCGCTGCCACTGCCAGCCCCAAGTTCATGTCTCGACTGTACCCTTACTGATGCCTTCTCCTACCCTTAGTGCTCCTGCCACGCTGTGTCCTCTGGTCTGGGCTCAAACACTTCCTTTTCCAGGAAGTCTTCCCAGATCACCCTCCTCTGAAGTCATGGGGTATTTTCTTGGTCCCTTTCTAAGGGTCCTAATGATAAATGTTCTGTTCCACCAGCTAAGCTCTGAGCTGCTTTTTTACATTCTCAGGGCCTGGCATGCACTGCATTTGATAAATAAGAACAACCCCAGATGAAAAATCCACCATCTTTTCTCCCCTAACTTCCCCAGACCCAGCACAAAGTCCCCTTCTCTGCTCAGAACCTGGAACTATGCTATTATTTTTGTCTTGGTTTTTTTTTTTGTTTTCAGTACTAGGGATTGAACCCAGGGCCTCATGTTTGCTAGACAAGGGCTCTACCATTTAAGCCACACCCCAAGCCCTCCCCACACCTTTTTTTTTTTTAGAAGTTTCAACAAGGATTTATTTTAGTTTACCCTGATAAAGTCAAGAGAAGTGGGGAAAAGAAAGGGAAAAACATTTCCTATTCCCCACCCAGGAAATGGGAGTAAAACTTCAAGACAGGTTCTTGCTAATTTTGTCCAGGCTGGTCTTGAACTCAAGATCCTCTTGCCTTCATCTCCTGAGTAGTAGGAATTACAGGCCTGTGCCACTATGCCTGGCTTTTTTTTTTGTTGTTATTATTAAGAGCTATGAGGATACCCTCTCTTGACACCACCCTCCCCAACTCTGGGGGCTCCACTCTCCCACTTTATACCTTTCTATCTCAATGACTCCCACTTTATGCTTTAAAAATAAAAATGAGAACTCGGCACATGCTGAACTGTATATACCAATCCTCCTCACAACCCTTCTTATTTAAGGGACTAGCATTTAGATAGGCATTTATCATATGCCAGGTACTATGGAGAATATTTTGCATATTTTAACACAGTCCTTACAAGGAGCTTTATTTTTTTAATATTTTTTTCATTTTCCTGTCTATGCTCTTATAAAAAAAAAGGTTCTATTATCACTCCCATTTTACCAATGAGGAAATTAAGACACTGAACTTCATCGACTTGCCTGGGTTTACATAGCCAGGAAGTGGTAGAACTGAAATTTGAACCCATTTATTCTGAGTCCCAGAATAAGTCTTTCACTTCACAATGCACCAGGCAGTTGGGCTGTGGGGCTTAAAGGGGGTGCACTGGGGCTGGGGCTGGAGCTTACTTGAAGGTTCCCCCGAAGGCCATGTGCATTCTGGAGACAGAGGCCTGGCAGGAGACATTGGATACTTTCATCCGGCCAGTGGGATCCTGGGAGAGCTGCAGACCTGTGTGGATGGACACACCCTCGGCCGAAGCGTTGATGTAGCCCCCATCATATCTGTAAGGGGGTTAATGTTCACCCCACTTGGGAGCTGAACTGAATCTTCACTGGCCCTTTCCCTTTTCCCTGCCCCCATACTTTGTGATAACCTTTTTTTTTTTGTACTGGGGTTTGAATTCAGGGATTTGTGCTTGCTAGGCAGGCACTCTACCATTTGAGGCATGCCTCCAGCCCATTTTGGTTTGATTGTTTTGGAGATGGAGTCTCACAAACTATTTGCCTGGGCTGGCCTTAAACCTCAGTCCTTCCAATCTCAGCCTCCCAAGTAGCTAGGATTACAGATGTGAGTCACTGGTGCCCATGTTTTTAGGGGCTAGGCAGCCCAGGCTAGTTGAGCTTGTGATTTTCTTGCCTCAGCCTCCTGATTGCTGGAACTATAGCCATGCACCATCTTACCCAGATCAAGGTGATACCTTTTAATAAGGCTATACTTCTGCAGCGTTTACCAGACACCTACCAAACCCTCCTATGAACCCTTAGGGAGTGGGTATGATTGTTCCCAGTGTACAGATGGAACCTGAACTCAGGAAAGCTAAGGGGTTGCACACAACACCACCTTCCAGACCCACCCTTCACTCCCCTATGGGTGCCCAGTGCCCGGTCCTCACAAGAACCAGTAGAGAAGTTGTCTCCGGAAGCGCAGCCCCAAGGAGGCATTGGAGATTTGCAGCATCAGCTCTTGCTCAGGCTGGAAGTGGAGCTCTGAGGTTGTCAGCTGCAGCTTTGTAACCTTCACACTGCAGAGGCCCCAAAGGTCAGATCCAGAGCCAAGAGGAGGGACCCTACCCAACCACAGGAAATTTACTCCCTCCCCTTCCAGTCCAGATCTGAGGAAGCTGGGGTGAGTGGAATAATTCTTCTACTGCCCTCCAGAGCCCAACTTGGACTTGGATGACTCAAGAGACTAGCTCCTCTTGCTCTAGGTGTTAAAAGTGAGTTTCTCAGCTGGGCACAGGTGGCTCATGCCGGTAATCCTAGCTACTCAGGAGACAGATCAGGAGGATCTCAGTTTGAAGCCAGCCCAGGCAAATAGTTCCGCGAGACCCTATCTCAAAAACCCTTCATAAAAAAAGGACTGGTGGAGTGGCTCAAGGTGTAGGCCTGAGTTCAAGCCTCAGTACCGCAAAAAAAAAAAAAAAAAAAGTTCCTCTCCACTCCCCCCCCACCCCCGCCCAGGCCGATCTTGAACTTATGAGCCTAAATGGTTTTCCACTTCAGCCTCAAGAGTGTCTAGAACTAAGGATCTAGCAGAGTGTCTCAAGTGGTAGAGTGCCTCCCTAGCAAGTGTGAAGGCCCTTGTTCAAACCACAGAAAAAAAGAGTAGCTAGGACTACAGGCTGATATTACAGGTGTGTACCATCTCAAAAAAAGTCTTGCATCTCCTCCCCTCCCACACACTGGGATTGCCCCACCTTTTTCCCTCATGCTGTAAATGGAACGAAGGACCTCATGAAAGACAGGCAAACACTGTACCACTGGGACACATACCCAGAGTTCCCCTCCCCTTTTTTTGAGACAGGGTCTTGCTATATAGCCTGGGCTGGCCTCAGACTCCCAAGTGCTGGGATTACAGGCACGCTTCACCACATCTGACTTTCTTTCCTTCCTTTTTTTTTTTTTTTTTTTTTTGCAGTACTGAGGTTTGAACTCAGGGCCTCACACTTGGTAGGCAGGCAGGTGCTCTACCACTTGTGCCACGCCACCAGTCCGCCACCACGTCAGACCTGGTCCTCTGACTTTACCTCCATCACTTAAACTCAGGCTCAATGCCCAAGTCCCCTATCCCATCCTACGCTACAGGAAATAACCTTTAATTCTCCCACTTCTGCCGTTAGCTCCACCACCTCACATCACATTCATCCACTGTTCCTCCCCACCTTTCTGGTGCTCTTAGGCCACGCCCACCTTCCTGGTCCCGCCTGTATTGGCTAGCTCGATGGGCTAGGCTTTTACCTTTTGGGCCCTATCCAGTTTCTTAAGCCCCGCCCCGTAGGTTTGACCACGCCCCCCGCCGCCGCCATCCTGTCTCCTGAGATCACATAGTACTCCCATCAGCCCCGCCCCCGTGCTTTCGAAGCTCCGCCTCCATCCCGAGGCTCCGCCCCAGGATCCCACTTACTCAGAGATATTATAGTAGAAGTGGCCCTCTTTGCCCCGTAGGTCTGGGATAGTGATAGTCTCCAGCTCTTGCTCCAGAAAGCGCAGCCCTTCCTGCTTCACTGAGGCAGCACCGAGACCCTTAGCTTCCGCACCTGCTGCCGGGGGCGACCCCACCTCTCCCGCCCCGCCTGCCCCCACACCTTACCCAGCTCCAACGCCTTGGCAGTGACGCGGATCTTGCAGCCCGGGAGCTCCGCGTGGGCACCTGCCAGCAGCGCTAGGAAAAGGGCCCCGAAGAGGGCCATGGCGAGCAGGCCTGAGGGTAGGGTAGGTCGCAGGAGTCATATGGGCCGCTAAAACCCACTTTCTTGGACGTCCAACAAGAAGAGGGGACTGCTCTGGATCGTTACCCTCCATATAACTCTTCGGGGAACTTGGAACCAATAATCTTGCCTCCATTTGTCAGATGAGGAAACTGAGGCTCAGAAAGGCGACACGAGTTGCGCTCTGCCTCCAAAGATTTGGAGCACGGGGGAGGGGACATTGTCGGTTCCCTCATGCAACCTCAGCGTGACGAGTTTGGAGCTCCGGGGACCAGCTCCCATTCCCCCCCCTTTAGAAGCCAGCGGGCTCAGGCTTGCTGGTTGCCATAGTAACGAGCACATGCGCATTCCTAGAGGGTAGCATGCGGTCTCCCAGGCCCCGCGCCGGGGTGTCCAGCCAGGACTGCGGGCTTCTGGGTCTCCCGGATCTCCCAGGTCCTAAATCTTTCCCATTAGGGATTCCTCCTGGTAGCCCCATCTCAGCGCCCTCTTCAACGGCTCTCCTCCCCACCTGGGTTCAGTGGACCACGTGGCTCAGCAAAGGTCTGGGGGTAGGATGGGGACGCTCCCCAACTCACTTGGCGGTGGAGGTGGGGGGCGGCGCGGTCACGAGGGACGGAGGGCAGCTCTAGGAATCCCGGCGGCGGGGTCTGGCGGGCAGCGCTGTTCCAGCCTCCTTTATAAAGCCAGGCCTCCCCGACCCCCCTCCTTGCTCCCGGCTCTCCCCTCCTCCCTAGGGGCTGGGAGGGGACGGGGCGGGACACTGGCAGTCGGGAGGGTGGAGAAGGCAGTACAGAGCCCCGTGACAAGCCCGGCTGCTGTCAAGACAAGTGGGGGACTCAGCCCCGCAAGAGGGAGGGAAGTGCAGGAGTCGGCCTGCCCGGGAACAATCATCAAATTCCAATTACCAATCTCTCTGCATGATTTTGGACAAGTCACTTCACTTGGGCCACTGAGCCTCAGTTTCCTTATGCAAACGTGTGTGTTAGTTAATAGGAGCTACCTTTTAGGGAGTCACTGCAACCCAGAGTGAGTTTTTTCCTTTTATCCACAGTCATTTTTTTTGCCTGGCTTTGCTACAGCTCCCCTGGATCTCTCTGGGGACCTTAATGTCCAGAGACCTTTACCACTTAGTAGAGCAAGTCCTAACAAGTGCTTTCAGCTTCTGAGGACACCACACAAGCAACCCGAATCACCCCACAGGGAGGTTTGCCCTTTCTTGGAGACTGTGGATTCTTTGGTGAACCCTTGGAGCTGGGTGCTCTGCCGAGTACCACTGTCCCTCATCTGCTACTTACAGGGTTCCAAGCACCTAGGATAGGGACAGAGTTGGTGCTGGCTACCTTTTTGCTGTCAAATGGATGAAAGAGAAAAGAGGAACCAATAATAATGTCCATTGAGCATGTGCCTAGCACCAAGCACTGATCTAGCTAAGACATCCAGCGCATCCTGATTTTTCCAGGACTTTCCTGATTTTGAAACTTGCTGGGAATCCACTTAGTTCCAGGCAAACAGGATGCCTGTTAGATCTAGGTCAGCTTATTTAACTTTCTTAACAATTTGTGAGGCTGGCATTCTTAGGAACCCCTGTAGGAAGAAACAAAGTTCAGGCATCTGTAGCCATTCCTGGGGACTCCACAGACTGTTCATGAAGAGTGGGACATGGATTTTATAGCCCAGTAAAGTGCTTAGACTTTTCTATCTGAAGGACCAGAGTTCACATCCTAGGAAGGCAATGGCCTTGGATCCTTATCTAAGTACCCTTAGCCTATTTCCTCATTCTAAAATGGAAACAATAATTTAAGGTTATTGCAAGAATTAATTAAATGGGCCTAGAACATGTGCTGGGCATGGTACATAGTACACCGTAAACACTAAACAAATGCTAGCTGTTATGACCAGGGTCACACACTACAAGTATACAGGAAAGGAACAGAGAAAGTGTTGGGGGTGTCCACAGGAGGACATGCTTATATATATGCCTTTGAACTCAAGTAACCTTCTTGGAGTCTGACTCAGACAACAAACCAGGGGGCTGGGGTGCAGCTCAGTGCTAGAGTGCATGCTCTGGGCTCAATTCCAAGAAAAAGAAGAAGAAGGAGAACAAGTTCCGATAAATATTTGGTTTCTTTCCTTCCTTTCTTCCCGCCTTCCTCCTTTCTTCTCCCTCTCCCTCCCTCCCCTTCCCTTTTTTTTTCAGATAGATTCTCACTGTGTTGCCCAAGCTTGCACAGAAGTCCTTGGCTCAAGCAAATCCTCCTCCCTCAGCCTCCCAAGGAGGTGGGACTGCGGCTTCAAGCCACTGCCCCCTACTTACCTCTCATTTTCTTAGCTAAAATACAAGGTCCATCTTTGTGTCATTTTTATCTCTGACGGAGTCTTGTCCCCCATAGCAGCCTGAGAGCACTAAACGTAGCTATGTGACCATGAGCCAGAGTTTTAACATCTCTGGGCCTCAGTTTCCTCGTCTATAAAATGAGGATAAAGTACCTCCCTCTTAGCGATGCTTGTGAGGCTTAAAGGGTTTAATAAGCTCTTGGCATTTAGTAAGGGCTCAAAAACGTTAAGCACAGTCACTAGCACTAACGGCCCTTAACGGCTTTTCATCCTACTGGAATAAACTCCTGCCTCCCGTTCTGGTGTTCAGGCATGTGGCAGGGCCTATCCCAACCTTATCTCTTCCTTCACCCTTCTTCATTCTCCTGCAGCCGCACTGGCCTTTCTGTTCTTTGAGTATACATATTTTTCTTGCTCAGAGCCTTTGTATTTGCAGTTCCCTCTACCTGGAATGCTCTTTCACCTGAACTTCTCAAGGCTGGCTTTTCTCCTTGTCATTTCATTCTCAGCTTATATGGTGTGATTCTAGAAGGTCCTTCTATCCCTGCCAATCTAGCACTTACTCTCAATCACAGCATCCCGCTTGATTTTCTTTAGAGATTTTATTACTATTTAATAATTCCTTGCAGGTGGGAGCCAGTGGCTCAAGCCTGTAATCTTAGCTATGAGGATCAAGGTTCAAGGCCAGCCAGGGCAAATAGTTCTTGAGACCCTGCCCCCCCTCTCCAAAATAACCAGAACAAAATGGACTGGATGTGTCTCAAGCGGTGGAGTGCCTGCTTTGCAAACCACAGTACCACCCACAACAGAAGAAGGAGAGAAGGAGGAGGAGGAAGAGATTGAAAAAGTAAAATTTTGCTTAGAGATTGAACAGGTTTGGAGCCCTCCGATGTCCCTGGGGACAGGTGATACCTGCAGCACCCAGGATTCTTTATCCACTCCTGCACTTTGCTAGCCTCAGCTCAGCTGACTCTAAATACAGTCCTGACCTGGGTAGAGGAGAGGCGTAGTCACTGGCCTTGACTCCAGGGACTTGCCTGCTCAGTCTCTCCTCTCCATCACATGGATTTCCCCCTCCCCTCAACCCTCACTCCTCAGCGTGATGTTGCAGCCTAGGTTTCAGGCCATTTCTCTGAGCTGTACTGCATCCCCAAATCCCTTCCATTTTCACTCCTGGCTTTGAGGAGGGAAGGGAAGGGTTCCCAGGGCTCAAAGAGATAGAAAAATGCTTTTCTAGCCTTCAGTGCACGGCCAGCACAGCAACATCACAAAACCCAGGCTAGTAAAGCAGTTGAGTGCTTTGGATCTAGACAGATCTGGTTCAAATCCTGCTTCTGCCTTTTTCTACAGCAGATGTTAGCAAGCCTTTCCAGGAAAGGGCCACATAGTACCTGTTGCAGGCTTTGCTCAACTCTAGCATGGCAGCATGAGAGAGCATATAAACTGTCTAAACAGACAGGCTGCTTGCTGGATTAACACACAGGCTATAGTTTACCAACCCCTGTCCTAGAGGAAATAAAACAAATCTGCTTCTGAGCCTCAGTTTCCACATTTGTAAAATGGGGATGATTTGGTAGTGGCTTTCCTCCCTGAGTGGCAGTGATCAAGCATACGAGGTGCTAAATCTAGTACCTGGAAAACCAAATGGCTCTGATAACCATTCATGAGCTCGTTGTTTAACAAGCAGAAAGTGCTTTGCAAATCCACAGATGAAGAAACTGAAGTCAGAGAGATGAAGTAATTAGCTCAAGTCAGTCTGGCTCCAGAGCCCATGCCCTCAGCTACTCTTTTTTTTTTTTTTGCAATACTGGGGTTTGAACTCAGGGCCTACACCTTGAGCCACTCCACCTGTGATGGGGTTTTTTTTTTTAGATAGGGTCTTCAGAACTATTTGCCTGGGCTGGCTTTGAACCATGAGCTTCCTGATCTCTGCCTACTGAATAGCTAGGATTATAGGCATGAGCCACCAGCACTCCAGTTCTATTCTTTTTTTTTTTTTCATTTTTCTTTTATTATTCATATGTGCATACAAGGCTTGGTTCATTTCTCCCCCCTGCCCCCACCCCCTTATTCTATTTTTTTGTTGCAGGGCCTTGTGAATGCTAGACAAGTGCTCTACCTTGTTTTTGTTTTTGTTTTTGTTTTCTTGAGATAGTGTCTTGGTATATACCCCAGGCAGGGCTCAAATTCATGATCCTTCATCTCCTGAGTAGCTAGGATTACAGGTGTACATACCATGCCTTGTTTATTGCCCCTATTTTGCAGATTGAGAGACTGAGGTGCAGTAGGAGAAACTATCTGGTTCCAGTTAGTAAACACAAGCTCTGCTGACTGCAGATGCCAAGCTGGCTTTCTGCCCAAGATGTCAGCATGCACCGCCTGGCTCCCTCCTCTCTCCCTGTTTTCTTTGGATCCCTGCTGGCTTGGAGACGCAGCATCAGCTCATCTTCCCTCCTGACCATCCTCACCCCCAATGCCCACCCAGGCTGCTCTGCAGGAAATGACTCCCCTTCTTATGACTCTGCGTGAGCCATGAGCACTGCATGCATATGCCTGTGTTGATCATCATGAATGTGCCTAGGAACATGTGACAGGGGACCCAGTTAGAAAGGGGGGTGGAGCTTTGGGAAGGCGCAGATGTCCAACCAGGAAGACTTTGATTACATCTTTTTCTAGAATGCAACTGGACAAAACATTTTCCATGGGGCTTGGAAGCTTACCAAATAGGGGAAAGGCAAATGCAAGATTGGGGCTTTCTTGAGTTCAGATGGAGCAGAGCTGTTGATTTTCTGTGGCTTCTCAAGGTTTGAAACCTGGTCTATTGTTTTCTCTTTTTCTTTCCCACTTCCTCCTTGAAAACCAGTTCCTTTTTCTGGGAAAGGAGCTGTCCTCCTGGTCCCTGAAGTTCTTTCCAAGTTTGAAACTCAAGGATGAGGATTCGAAGATTTCTTAAAAGTGCTACTTCCCCAGGGCCTAGGGGCATTTGCAACCCATACCTGCTCTTCCATCTTGGTTTGGATGTTGACCTTGAGCAGCTCAGTCTTCCCCTCTGATGTCCTTCTTCTTTTTCTTGTGTTCCCTCTTTTCTAGTTTCTACGCTTCTTTCAACTGTTTGTTGATGATGAGTCATGAGAGCTTCTCTCTCTGTGGTCCTAAAATGTAGAATCTTCAAAACTGTCCAGGCTGCATTACACTCTGCATGGCTTTCTAGGCCCAAATTGCTTGAAGAAAGCAATGTCATCTAGATGTTTGGATTTCCTAAGCCAGTAACAACATTTCTAAGTAACTGAACTAAACAGGGGT